AAACTTTCCTTATCCTTTTTTGCCGCCACTAGCTTCTTTCCGTGAAAACGAAACAGGTCTGATTTCCCCACCTCCTTTATCCACGTCTGGATGTTACTACGGGAGATCAACTCATCCTGGGTCATTGCTCTGTCGATGTAAACTTTGGAGAATTCTTTGGTCTTACTGAGAGTCTTCTTATTTTGTAAGGTCACTGGATTCTAACTTTGCTATCACGAGGCCCGGTTTGTTGTCTGGACGAGATTTTCTGGTCGCTTCAACCACTTTAACTTCAATCATTGATTAACCTGGTGATAGACAGCATTCTTGTCACCCTTTGTGACAGGCAGATTACGGATCACAACACTTTGATGAACGTTATTGTCATTATTTTCAGTTCTTAATCTTGTTTCGACCTCAGAGATTTTTCTATCCATTCTTACGACTGCAGTTTCACATTTTTCTGAGTTTAACTTGGAAGTAGTTTCCATTCGTGAAATTCTGTCCTTCAAACGTATATTTGCGATTCAAATTCCTTTCTCAATTATTCTGTTTCAGCTTTAAATATAGGGGTAAGCTTGGTCGTCAACCTGCTTTCCATCTGTGTCATTTTGCCATCCATCTTAGTGATGGCAGCTAAAAGTTCCACGTTTGATACATCGTCAAAATCTTGTGCACAACACGAACTTCGTCTTTCTTTCTTCGCGGCGCTGGGCTCATTCATTCTCAACATCGGTCGCACAAGGTACAGGAGTCTGTTGAAACATAACTTCACCGACGTATTCGGGCGAGTCACTCAATCCACATGTCGACATAGCCATTGTTAGGACGCCAGAGAAAAATTCAGTTTTGACAGTCAAAGTTATCAATAATGAAAGTTTCTTGCATCAAAATATACGTGAATTCGGATCAATGGGCATGTGTAATTTGATATTCTCACAATACTTTATACCTGTTACAGAGGATTGGTGAAATTTCCTTCGATTTTGTTTGTTGGTGATGAAGAGCCCAAGCGAAGCACGCCTTGCCAGATCAAGGGACGTAACTCCCCCCTATATGCCTAGTGCTTTAAATGTTTGTAAGTCATTCAGGGGGTTTAGTATCATTGCTAGTGTCGTTTGATTGCTGCAATTTAGTGGGGATTGGAGTGTTGTTCTGTGTTGCTGGTAATGTGTGCAATATAGTATTATGAGTGAGTGAGTGAGTGAGTGTGGTTTTACGCCGCTTTTAGCAATATTCCAGCAATATCACGGCGGGGGACACCAGAAATGGGCTTCACACATTGTACCCATGTCGGGAATCGAACCCGGGTCTTCGACGTGACGAGCGAACGCTTTAACCACTAGGCAACCCGACCGCCCCCTATAGTATTATGTGTTTAGGCGTTTCTTTTAAGTTGCAGTGGGGGCATTTACTGGTTTGGTTTGGTGTTTTTTAATTTGGTGTAGGTGGGAGTTTAACTTATTGTGGCCTATTTGTAGTTTAGTTATTTCTCTGTCAATTTTCTTTGTTTTATGATGGATTTTTTGTATTTTGAGTCGCTTTTGTAGCAGGTGTTTTAGTTTGAAATCAGATTTCTGATAGTTATTTTGCCACTTTGGGTAGATTTTCTAATTGTGATACTTTTAATTTCGTTTTTGATATTGGTAGTATCATGTTTACTTCTTCTTATTTTAGTGCTGATTTGGCTGCTTTGTCTGCGTGTTCGTTGCCAAACACTCCAACGTGGGCATGGATCCAAACTATTTCTATGTCTTTACCTAGTTTACGTAGATTGTTGTCTTTTAATTATCTGTTGTATTAGTTTTGGGCGCTTTTTTGTGTTTTTGTTTTTTATGGCCTGGAGCCCAATTAATGAGTCTGAAGGATTAGGGTTTTTAAGTGTCTATTTTTTTATCGCTGTTCAGGTCTGTGACTATCCCCATTAATTCGGCTGTGACAATTGATTGATTATTTGGGAGCCTATATGATTGTGGTTCTTTTTTGGGGTTATTGATGCCGAATCCTGTGCTTTTTGAGCCCGGGTCAAAGGACCCGTCTGTGTAAATGTGACACCAGTTTTTTTTCGTGAATGTATGCTAATGTGATGGATTTAGCGGTATTTGGATCAGTTTCTTTATTTAGTCTGGTGGAGAGAGATATGTCGATTTTGGGGGGTTGGAGTTTGGGTGTGAAGGTGTTTTTTGGGGCTGTGTTTAACTTTAAATTATTTAGGTTGTGTATATTTAGGTAATTTATTATGCTTGATATTGAATTGAGTTTAGTTTTTCGCTTAATGAGGAGTTTAAGGTGTTGTATATTTGGCATCCATAGTCTATTTTTGATCTAATTAGTGTTTTGTTCAGTGATTGTACGGTCTCCTTGGCGACCCCCCAGTTGGAACCTGTCAGGCAGGGTAGTGTTTTTAGGTCTTCAGTGCATCTATTTCTTAGGTTTTTAATGTGAGCACCACAAGTGAGGTGTTCATCAAAGATGAGTCCAAGGAATTTGGTTTCTTATTGGAATTGTATCAATCTCTACTTTCACGACCATTAGCCCTTGGATCCCCTTTACCATCAATCACTCCTTTCACGACCGTTAGCCCTTGGATCCCCTTTACCATCAATCACTCCTTTCACGACCGTTAGCCCTTGGATCCCCTTTACCATCAATCACTCCTTTCACGACCGTTAGCCCTTGGATCCCCTCCACCATCAATCACTCCTTTCACGACCGTTAGCCCTTGGATCCCCTCCACCATCAATCACTCCTTTCACGACCATTAGCCCTTGGATCCCCTTTACCATCAATCACTCCTTTCACGACCGTTAGCCCTTGGATCCCCTCCACCATCAATCACTCCTTTCATGACCGTTAGCCCTTGGATCCCCTTCACCATCAATCACTCCTTTCACGACCATTAGCTCTCGGATCCCCTTTACCATCAATCACTCCTTCCACGACCGTTAGGCCTTGGATCCCCTTTACCATCAATCACTCCTTCCACGACCGTTAGCCTTTGGATCCCCTTTACCATCAATCACTCCTTCCACGACCATTAGCCCTCGGATCCCCTTTACCATCAATCACTCCTTTCACGACCGTTAGCCCTTGGATCCCCTTTACCATCAATTACTCCTTCCACGACCGTTAGGCCTTGGATCCCCTTTACCATCAATCACTCCTTTCAGTTAGCCATTCGACGTCTGACGTCTTGAGATCGGTACTATTAGGTACATTAGCACTGCCTTTAACAGTGTGGACGTTGCTCAGTCGGTTAGCTGTAGGGCTCAAAATCCGAAAGTGGCTATTGGTCAGAGCAGTTCTGGTGCCTTATTCCGAACGTCAAAGTAAATCCAAAATCACTGGTAAACACGATGGACATTGTTGCTTTAGTGAGGTGTTACTTTTCTGTATTTAAATATTTGGGTCATGCATTTGGTCATACATCTACATCACTTCGGGCTTTACTCCCACATTAAACTGACACGCCGTGATATAACTGGAATACTGTTTAAAAGCGCGTTAAAACCAAACTCACTCACTCTGGGAACTGTGTTCCATAATGATAACAAATTAAAGAAGGAACCTGTGACCCAAAATACGTGTCTAGTTTTCCAATTGATCTTGTTACATTGACTATATAAAGAAGTTATCGCTAGCACTAAGGATACAATAGTCACCTTACAAGAATTCAGCATAACGACTGGCCTTGAAATCCTTGTATTGCAATCTGGCTTTTCTCTAATGTTCACATTCGCATTTATAGAATTTTCCATCTTGAATGGTTCACGTCGCCGCTGCCCCTCCGCTGAAAACATTATCCCATGACACAGAATACAATAGCATGGACATTTATTCTACTTCTAGTTACAGACAAATCAACTGACAACACCATACAGAGACACAATGGGCTGGACCTCGAGAACATATCTCACCTTTCACATACGTCACCCGAAACGCCACCTCACGAATAAAACATGTATACATACTAATACATAATACAGAATTTAAGTTATCCAGTGATACTAACAAGCGTCGCACAAAAGCCGGACGTATTATCGCGTGGAATGCAAAGGGAGATAACTCAGTAGTCGTGCAACGTATAGACCACTAGAAAATGTCAGAAAAATACGTTTTTTATATGTATACAGGGAACTGAATAACAAGCCCCTGGATCATCAGACACGCAATTGCAGACACATTCACGTTGTTTTTTCAACGTTAGATGATCATAGGACCCTAGGTACCCTAAAACATTATAAGCTCTAAATGCTGAGAATATTGTGAGGTTTGTTTAGCAATATTCAAGCATTATAATGGCTTATGAGTGAGTGAGTGAGTGAGGGAGTGAGTATGTATGTTTTTTACGCCGCTTTTAGCAATGTTCCAGCAATATCACGGCGGGGGACACCAGAAATGGGCTTCACACGTTGTATCCATGTCGGGAATCGAACCCGGGTCTTCGGCGTGACGAGCGAACGCTTTAACCACTAGGCTACCCGACCGCCCCTATAATGGCTTATGATAACTAGATGCGGGCTTTACACATTATGTCCACTAGAGCAGTTACCTCCAGGTCTTCAGCGTGATGAGCTAATGGCTAAACCTCAAGCATACACCAACGCCCGGACACGAATAACGACTCTCTCTACCTGCTGAGTGACTCGGGGTTTCAGACACTTTTCATAATATCCCAGATTTTGCACGGCAAGAGACACCAGAAATGTGTTTCACACATTGTACCTATGTGACGAATCGAACCCCAGGCCTTCAGTGTGACGAGCGGACGGTTTAACCACAAGGCAACCCTACTATTCACTGAAACAGTACGATGTTGTTTGTCATTTGCACGAGTGTGATGTAACGTAGGTTGCATGTGCCTGTGGTATGTCATCTCATTACGTCAGATCTATACTTGCTTATTGAACGAGGCGACTAACGGGACCGGGTGGTCAGGCTCGCTGACTTGGTTGATGCATGTCATCGATCCCAATTGCTTGGATCGATGCTCATGATGTCAATCACTGGATTGTCTAGTCAAGACTCGTTTTTTTACAGACCGCCGTCACATAGCTGGAATAATGCTGAGTGCGGCGTCAAAAAACAAACAAACAATGTCTGTACTCTAAAGAAGGGTCAATTGCAGGAAATGCTCATTTTAAAGACAACATCATTATTATGACTTACAGCCCATTGTAACTTCTTTTTCTAAATACATTACCTGTTCACAAGTATCAATTATGTCCTGTTGTAATTTTATCGTCTAGATTAACGTTGAATTGCTTAGTAAAAGTACAAATCTACTATGAATATGGCAATGATACGACCTGCATTCTTTATATTTCACTGTCAAATATTTGTCGTAAGGTGGTGTTCTAAAGAAGGATGCTTACATCCATATTTGCACACTACTGTCTCACGATCATGATGAAACACGAAAACGTAACAAGGACAGTAAGTGAAAATATAAAACCGAAACTTATTCTGTTTAGACGTTTTGCAAGTTCTTTGTTGCCCTTTTTGGGTAGTTTTTCTTGAAATAGTTTCTCGGGTACGTGACAAAACGTGTCTGAATCGTTTACCTTCTGGTGTTCTAAAAGAAAAGAGTCAGCACCCGATAATTCTTTTTCAGTGCCTCCATGGTAAACATTTAGAACCAAAACAGTCAACAAAGTTGTCACAACCTTGACAAACATCATTGTCAGGAGGTAGATGCTGAAGATGCTCACAGTATCTGACACTTCAGGTAGACTTCCTCCTATGACAGACAAGAACACTGCATAGGACAGCACTATGGAAATACACAACGATATCTTCTCTCCAGATTCAGGCGGAAGTAGAAATACACCAAGGTTAAGGACGGAAAGAAGCATGACGGGAAGGATGTTGGTGATAATGTAATATAGGTACTTCCTTTTGAAGACGAACGTAAAAACAATCTCCGTCTGAATCACATCATCAGTAAAAGTATGAAGAATGGAGTCCTTTGACTTGCCAATTATTTCCCATTCTCCATTTGGTCTATACATTGACGTTTCAATCTCAACCCGACCTGCTGTGATATTTATGTCAGTAATAACAGTAACCCATTGAATAAGGCTGATACTGCATGTTTGGTTGTCAAACGGAAAGTGTCGCATATTTAAAGAGCATTTTGTACGTTTCGTCATCTCTTTGTACCAAGTCACTCTTCCGTCGTTGTTCACCCTTGCCATTTCCCCAACGGGTAGTATTAAAGACAGGCTATCGATTCCATTTGTCAAACTTAAGTCCGGAATCCACAGCTTATCCACAGGTATATTAACATATTGTATACCACCATACTCACTTGGGTTCCAAGTCAACCGCTCATCTGTCCATTTAAGTGTTAAGAATCCAGAAGAAGCAACTGTCTGCATGTTTTCATCCAAGGCTTCCACAGAAGTCATGCTGTAGGAAACCACTACGACCACGGTATCATTAGGATTCTCCCTGGGTCTGATATACGGCTTGTAGCCCTCCAGTAGGTCATTGTACAAGGTGTACAGAGGGCCCGGATCAGCTCCAGACTGAAGTCCATATGTAGCACACATGCATATACAGAAAGTTAAAACAGTAGACAGGTCCAACATTACGAAGCAAGGATGTTTTATGAAGGTAAATGTCTGCCAAAACATATATATATATTTCTAAGCTCCTATCTTTATGGATCCAGGACGAATAGTGGAAGCAGCCACACAGTACAACCCCAATGCGAAACAAGGAAAACACATCATTAAAAATAACGTCCAGATAAAATCAATTGTTAATCGGTAGCTGTTTCACTACACATTTGGGTTCCAATACCCTGAATGGTTTATCATCAGGTGTGTGTGTGTGTGTGTGTGTGTGTGTGTGTGTTTATTGATGGCATTATTTTATGTGTCTTCTCATCACGAGTTATACAGTACTATAGCTCACATGGTAAAATATATAGTGTATTCTTCATTTAACTAAATAATGTTAAAACACAGCAACTTGAGATTTTGTAAGCATTACTGTGGGTAAATTTTCAGAAATATCACACGACCTTGATTTATTTTTCCCGCTACTTGTTTGAAAGGTTTAGCTTCATTAATCAAACAGAGATAATATACACTCATGTAGAGGCGAGGTGAGCTAACAGCTGAGGCGAATTTGAATGTAGTCAGAAAAAAATTAATTGCCCGAGAATACACAAAGGTTGGATTCATCGTGTCATTGCATATAGGTTTCCCATGCTGTGGCGAATCAAAATGAGACTAAGCCAACAATGTCCGTTGTCCTGTTCCTGGGTATCGGAAATAGATGCATTCAGTTTGATGTCAATTAAACGAATGTCCTGGTGATTGCAGTAAGCAAACAAGAGACGGGCAGGTATCGTCATTGATTCACTGTCACTGTCACAAACATTTCCATATATTATTGATGTGACAGGACATAGAACATTCTCTGAGGGTAGTTTAAACAAAGTGACGAATTAATATAGATTGGGATTTTAACTCACAATTCAGCGCAACTATTCAGAGCTGGATGGCAAAATTTGTACACACAGCTCAAGAGGAAGAATGTATAGTGACAGAGTGAATTAGATTGTGCCAAATTTATGTCAACGATATGGTTTTTTATCATATAATGGGTAGGTTTCTCGGCAGGATAAAGCCAACGGATAAAAACGATATCCGTTGGGGTCATATGCGGATAGAGATGCAAATATCAAAGGTCACGTAGGGACTACGTTCACTGTTTATAAACAAACACGGCGTCGCACTCGTCATTCGGCGATCGAGTCAGAATTAACCATCGGGAATCTGGATAAACTACAGGGATTATTGCTATCATTATCAAAAGAACAGTCTAATATACTGAAAATCTGTGTCTAACTGTGACATAGCTAAGGCATTTTATAAGTTTTGGCAACTTTGGAGATATACATTTCGAAACAATTTGGCGAGGGCACGAGACCTAGCCAAGCGGGATCAGTAGCCATATCTGTGCTTGTAGACCTCTGCGGCTTGAAACCTCCTCCACAAATTAAAATAGTTGGATTTGGCGGAAATATGTTTGAATTGTTACCTTGTTTCGTTTTGTCGCTGTGTGTACATCTGACAACACTTCTTATCGTTATGACAGGATAGACCGACTGTCAACAACATCTGACCGTGGCCGTGACGTCTCATAGACTAGGGTTAGAGTAGTTTCCCTTTGACAAAGGGCAGTTACTCTAGCGGACAGACCGATGGATTGTCGCGAAAGACAATTAAAAACAATTGTTGTTTTTGCGTATATGTTGCTTGGCCACTGTATAAGAAACATATTTCAGTTGGAACTATATTGGCTACTGTCACTGTCCGACTGACACATCACTTACCCTGTGACGTAATAAATATTAATGCGCGCATTCCAGGAAAACTCGCAATGTTTCGGTAATGTTTGTGAGTGAGGGAAAGCGATTTTGAAGCACATAATTAAAGAATGACATTATATGATAAAGAGGTTATCACGCTTGTGTGTTTGGGGATGGTAAATATCCTGTATTAGGAATAAACACTATGTATTTAGCTCGCCAAGGCTCGCTAAATACAATGTTTATTCCTAATGCAGGATATTTACCATCCCCAAACACACTCGCGTGATAACCTCTATGTATTTCGGTGAGAGCCGATAAACCCATGGAATGGTGCACACTTTAGTCACAATGAGTTTTTGTTAACTCAGCAGTCAGTTTAACCGTGAATTGAATCCTGGGACCATCCTTCCGACTTCGATTCTACTAACTGGTCTTGGGAGAGTGTTTATTGTGCGTGTCAAAATTGCTGTAATCTCGCAAGGAGATTGATGATAGATTTGCCCGAATTGTGTTTCTAGGTTTGTAAGCACCATACCCGTGCTCGTGGGTTTTACCAAAGTGGTAAACGTCTGAGACCTGCATCACTTCGGGGTTTCCTCCCACATTAAGCTGACACGCCGTGATTTTGCTGGAATACTGTTCAAAGCGGCGTTAAAGCTAACTCACTAACTCACTCATTTACTCATTTACTCACTCACTCTCATACGTTCATTATTGTATTACAGTAAATGATCTTAATTTGTAGTTTAATTTTTTTTTATGTTTTTGTACAACTAAAACGGCAGTCATGCAAACGTAATATTGACATTTTGCTTTCACCTTTTCAGACCAGATCTATGAGGCTTCACGGTACGGGAGTATGTTGTTCAGTTCACCACACACACACACACACACACACACACACACACACACACACACACTGACAGCGATATATATATATATATATATATATATATATATATATATATATATATATATGTTACAGGAAACAAGTATAATCAGTGATTAAGTCTAATGACTGAAAATTTCAGTGATTATGTCTAATAACTGATTCACTCGGTATATTGTTGTTTAACGCACTGATATTATGTTGATTGCATAAATTCAAAATCAACTTTTAATTGGGGGCAGTGTTAGCATACAATCACTGATTACGGTACCTGTTAATTTCATTTATTATGTATAATAACTGAGTGAATCAGGTATTACACATAATACCTGAAAAATTCAGATATTGTACATCATAACTGAGTATACTGTCTGTAACATATATAGAGACGATAGACATGTGTTCAGTATAATACAGAGCCATACTTTGATGCTGGCAGGAGTGACTTGACGTCAAACCAGGATGATCAAGCATTTTCTGTTGTACTAAAATATGATTCAGTGGGAAAAAAAGTAATCTGAATTCTCACAGCGTCGTGTTCAAATGAAATATATGTACATCCATTCAGCATATTATCACATAAGTCCTATAAAAGGACATATTCATCCATATTGTGACATGATATGTGTGTAATGTCGAAGAAATTTAGGAGTTAATCATTTAACTAGCGCATGACGCAATCGAACTGTCGTCAGCATAACGTCTTACATTGCACGGAACTTGGTGCCCCTAAAACTAATACTGGTTGCATGGTACTGCCATTATTTTGGTTCATTTTACCTAAGAGGTGGTCACGTTTTCACGTCTATTTGTCAGACAAGAATAACAACAAAAACATTCATAAATTCAATTCTTTATTACGGTTATTTTCTCATTTGTAGTTTGTATGCATGTATATCTTGAAGAGACAAATAATCAAATTAAGGAAAACGGTTTTTTTGCAAGACATCCTATCCAAGATAGTGCCAACTCGCCTGAAATTGATGTGGAAACAGAAACAGTGCAAGTAAAACATGTGTGAGATATGCTGCTTAGTTATGATGGAATTCGAAGAAGTTGTTTACTGTAATGTTATCTGGAAGAGACGGGGTTCTTTTGGAGTTCGAGTCAGCGGACTGCGACTTCAACTACTCCTTCGTTTTGTAATTGGTTACTTTGCAACTTTTGTGATTTTTCAGTGCATGTTGCCCGTAGACAAGTTTTTGAGGGAACTCTACTGAGTTCAGAGTTTGTGTTACAAATCCCTTTATGTTGCCAAAAGCATGGGTGCTGGTGGTGTACCTTTCAGAGTCGTCATTGTGACCAGTTCTATTTCTGTACTTTAGGCGCCAAGGGGGCGACAGGGTAGCCTAAAGGTTAAAAACCGTTGGTTAAACCGTTGAACTGAAATATCTCCTGCGGCAGTCCTGAAGTCTTATCAGTGTTAAGGAATAGTGCTTGCTGACTATTCTGTGATATGTTATATTTGGTCATCGTATATAATAAATATATTCGACTTCACTTATTATCATTCATTTTATCCGACACGGGCTGTTCTAACATGTTTCTAAATGGATGTATCACTGGTGCATAACTCTGTTTTGATAGATTTGTTGGCGAAACAAACTGTAGACGAGGAAAGTGGGCTTATGGGCTAATGGGTTACCATTACTCAGTAATCAGCCGACTAGTGCGAAAACACACCCAAACCAAATCAGTAAAGGACCTGTTACGTACAGGTCGGCCTCCTGTGACGTCAGGACGTGAGAACAGGATATCACTGCGATTAGAAATCCTTTTGCGACGAGAACCTACCGGAGGCGTAATTGGTTACCCCATAGACGTCAGTCTTACCAAACGTTGCGGAATCATTTAATTAAGAGCTGCTTGAATGAGGGCCCGAAGAGTCGTCAATCGCCCCCTACTGGTACAGCATCATCGGAGACTGCGATTACAAGGGTGTTTGGCACAACAAGAACATGGAGACGTATCCATTGGTCAGATGAAAACATGTTTCAGCTGCATGTGAATGATGGCCGAACGAGATTATGGAGGCACCAAGGTACAGCATACACCCCCAACAACATTAAACCAACTGTTCCGTTTGGTGGTGGCTCCTTGATAATATGGGGGTGTATATGCCACAATTGCAAGCTATTGACTATACGGGGCAATCTCAATGGTGAACGTTTCATGCGGGAAGTTCTGGAACCAGTTTGTGTTCCCCATTTTGACAACCACGCACTGGCATCAAGACCTCTGTTCCTGGACGACAATGCTGGACCCCACCGTCCTAGAGCTGTGACTGCATATTTGGCACACAACGCCATTGCAACTCCACCTTGGCCTGCAATGAGTCCAGATCCAATCATGAAATATGCCAATTGACCTTTTTACAGGTCAGTAGGGGGTCAAAGGTCACGTGACGACCCTTGAGCTAAAAATTCAATTTGCATATTTCATGATTGGATCCA